TGATCTTATTGAAATTTATCTGATTTTCTTTCAACTTCAAGTGTCGATATAAATTCTAGAATGCAAAAAACGCATCCTTTTGCAAAAATGCACCACAATCTCCAAACGATTATGATCCAAACCAACTTACAGTTCGTCCGTCGATCACGTGCTTCTCCTTGACCACTCTTTCGGCAACCGTAGGGTCAGCAAAGACTATGAAGCCGAACCCACGAGCCCGGCCTGTGGTTCTGTCCCTCATGATCACTGCCTCCATCACCTCCCCATACGTCCCGAAATATTCTTTGAGGCGCTCCTCGTTTGTGTCCCAGGAAATACCACCAACAAACAATTTACCTCGATCCATCTCCATATCCCTGCCATTTTGGAACATAATTAACATACAGCCCTTCGCATAAACCAAACACAGCTGCTTCTTCATACGCAAAAGGAAATAAAAACAAAGCAGTCTTGCAGAACAAGCAAATCGTCAAATCACAAAATGGAAACTAACTTGCAGGTAGAATCTCATAGAACACCTAGATCTTGTCAACGCAGATCATATAAAGAAAAATGACACGGCTGAGCCACTATAGGAAGCATTGGTAAATTCGCAGAGATTGCAGACAAATCCAGCGTTAATCACACAAGCAAGAGAAGGGGTCCACGATCAAAAAGTTAAATCGAAACTCGATTACCGTGCGGACAAAAATTCAAATCAACATCAAGCTAAAATACAACGAATGAATGGCACCTTTATCCAGTAAATCGGATAGGAAGCAGTTGCAGACGGATCCCAATACAGAGTCCGAAATGCTGGATTTAATACGACACCAACGGATCCCTGATTCATCAATCGGGCTTCACCGCACGGACGGATCCATGGCAATCTCACAATTCCTACAGATCAGACAAGCACTCAATCAATCAGAAAATGACAACAAAATCGACAATGGAAAGAAAGATCTAACGAGAGGATTATACCTTAATGAAAAACAGAGGGTATGCTCATGCTCATCCCGTCTCCCTATCACCTCTCTCTCTCTCTCTCTCTCTCTCTCTCTCTCTCTCTCTCTCTCTCTACAGGGCCTTCTCTTGCTTTCTCTCTTGGTTATTCCTTTACCTGAGGTATTATTTAAAATTTGATAAGTTATGTAGAGAGGGAGAGAGAGAGAGGTTAAGTGTATGTAAGTTGTATGTATATATATGTGTGGGATTGTTGGGCGAAAATCTCTCTGGTTGAAGATATATGGTTTGGAGGTAGATGATGATGATGAGCTTTGGAGAACTATTACTAGCTAATTCACATTACTTTTTTTTTTTACATAACCAATTCAATTTTTTCATTACAAAGGTCTGATTTTCTAATATTGAGTTATAATAATAAATTTTGAATTTTCTCAATCAATAGTTTAAATTTTATATTATTCTTGATTGAATGTCATGGAGACGAGACCATGATCGTTTTTCTGAAAAAATATGATCGGCTCCCGGTTTAACTCGTTTATTCTTATTCTATCTTTTATTATGTCATTATTTATTAGGGCTATTTAAAGAAATATCTTGCACCTTGTTAGGCAAGATACATTTTAGAATAGGACTCTTAGTTTTATTAAAACCGTGAGTTTGTAGGAGTGAAGAGTGAAGTAGATCATTGAAGTTTTTTATCAGATTATCGTAATTCTTTCGAGAGAGCATCTCATATTCTTCCCCATTCGTATCAAGTTCTATATCAGTTGGTATCCACAACCAACCACG